CCAGTCGTTTTTGGATAATCTTCAGCAGAATCTTGCTTGCATGTGAAATCAATGATATTGTTCTGTAGTTTCCACACTCAGTTGGGTCGCCCTTCTTTGGGATTGGAACAAATATAGACCCCTTCCAGTCAGTTGGCCAACTGGTTGTTCTCCAGATTTCTTGGCACAACTTGGTGAGCACATCCACGGCAGCATCTGTTAGCTGAAATATGTCAACTGGTATACATTTCAAATATATGCATGATTTTGTAAGATTTTCAGATATATAGAATATGAAGTATATACTTATATTAGATTTTGAAAATCTGACCTACGTGTTATTTCTTAAAAGAAAGTTATATTTTAGTAGAAAATAACCCTATTGTTGATATTGCTGTTGAGTTGGAAATGACTAATAGCTGACCCTCCAATGGGTTTTCAGTGGTATAAATCACTTGGGAGGAGACAGGTCATCCATTTCCCAAAGAGCATCTGGTGGATTCAAACTGCATGTCTTTGGGTTTGCAGAGCAGCTTCTTACCATTCGGCAAACAGCTGTTACTGTTAGGTGATATTAAGTCAAAGGAAGGAACTTATACACAATGGAACAAAATACAGTAGAGTTAGGTATATCAAAAGAGGAGTAAACCTCTACTATATACATCAATCACCAAGTTTCAGGTTTTTGACAAATAAATTAATGAATAATAAAAAGTTTCTAATAGTTTTTAAAGGAATGATCCATGGTTTCTCTTTTGAAATTGATAGTTAACCCTAAGATTATTATGACTCATGATAACACCATGTGCAGAACAGAATTAAACCACAGGATTTTCCAGGGTGTGATCTTTAAGAAGCTGAATTCCAAGTGTGTCTTTCAAGACACGTGTGGGTGTGTTCAAAATGTCAACCTTTCAGTTAATAGCTAAGCAGTTAAGCATTTGAGCTTGTCCTTAAACATTTATAGGTGTCACTTTCTGACAGATTCCTGCTCTAGATGGACAGATGCCAGTTTCAGTAAAAATATTTTTTATGACTTTATATCTACTTTTGTTCCTAGGTTTTATGCTACTTGAATTTTATAAAAATGGAGATTTTCAAGTACTACAGAAAGACAAATGAATCCTATGGAAAATCCCAAACAAGAGTAGTTTTGCCAGAGCAACAGGAAAACACTAGTATTTAAAGTATATTACAAAGGCTGATTATTTTAATACATCTTATTGTACATCATCAAGCACAGGTTTCTCATTTTATTATTTCTCTTACCTTCAGAGTTGCTCCTACCCAAAAAGAGTAACAGGTGTCTACAGGTTTATTAGGTCTTCCATGATAACCATTTTGTTGTCTCATTATACACCATCGTTTTATCCTATTCAGTTCCTTTTCTGAAAAAACTTCTTCTAGTTTACCCATCAAACACAGTGATGCAATGCCACAAAAAGTCGATCCTCCTGTTAATCAAAACCACACAATGCTTTATACTTTATATCAAATGTCAATGAAAAGAATTTAAAATGGCTAGGAAAAAAAGATAGTGAAACAGAGAATAGTGAAATAAACGAATATAAAATTAAAAGACAATTAATTATAATGTAAAAGTAACCAATAAGCCTTAAGGTCTTCGTTAACTTTATGAAATACAAAGGACTTTTTAAAAAGTATGGAGCTATAAGAACAGACTACTTATTGGGAGTAATAAGGAAATGGTTCAGTTATATAGTTTATGGTAAAGTAGAAAGTACATTCAAATAAGATCTGACTGTTACAGAGGAGATTGTCCCTCCTCCAGCAGAGCATCTGGTGGATTTGCACCGTGCACCTCTGGATTTGCAGTACACGTTCCTGCCACTAGGCCACCAGAGCTCGCCAATTCTCTTAAGAAGACATGTTGTAATTATTTTGCTTATGAATTAAAGTTCTTATTGTCTGGATGTAAGACTAATTTTTACACATAACATAAAAAAGCCCCATCTGGTATGCAAATATGATACTGAGTCAGTTTGAGATGAAGAAGAATAGAACCATTAACAATATACAGAATCAGATGCACAGTATAATTTTAACATGTATTTATACTCACTACAGTAGGCTCCCCAAATAGACACAGATCCTAATATATAATGTCACTGCTACCTTACATATAGTCTAAGGGACTTTAAAGATGTGATGAAGATTATTGAGATCAGGATGGAGAGATTATCCTGTATTATTCACACGCATTTAAACATAATCACAAAGATTCTTGAAGCAGGAAGCAGAGGAAGATTAGATTATGGATAGAAGGGCACACAGTATAACCATGAAAACAAGCTAGAAGGATATGGCTACAAGCCAAAGAATCCTGGCAGTTATCAGAAACTGAAAGATGCAAGGGATGGTTCTCTCCTGTATCCTCCAGAAGGAACTGGTCCTGGCAATTCTGGTTTTACTCTTTTAAGACTTAGTTAAAAAAACCCAAAACAAACAACAACAACAGACTCAGTTCAGACTTTTGGTCTCTAGAACTGTAAAGGGATAAACATCCTTGTTTAGAGCCCCTAAAAGTATGTAATAATTTGTTCTAGCAGTAATACCAAATTGGCCAACAAAAACAATAGCTTCTTTAGGAAATATAACAGCTATTCTCTAAAATATTTGTGAGGGTTTTTTCTAAGCAAATTGGCACAATAAAGTGAAAATACTCTTTACACTGCCCTTATCACCTGATTTTGAAAATGTTAACTCCAAAGTAAGTTCAGGCTCTTAAGTAATCCAAATCACAATGCTTTAAAGTACGAGGACATCTTATAATTAGCAAGATGACTTGGGAGAGAGAGGGGGAATTAATGAAATAAATAGGTAAGTTGGGTGCAAGTAAAAGCAATAGGCAATAAGGGGTTGATCAGACACTGTAATTAATTAATCAATTATGTTGTTATGTGCTGTCAAGTCGCCTGTGACTCTTAGTGACTCTATGTACAACAGTCTTAAACCCTACTCTATTATTGCCAATCTTATTGTCTCCGACACACCTATTCCTCTATTACCTCAGTGACTGAACCAATCCATCTCTTCGAGGGCCTTCCTCTCCTGTGCTGTCCCTCCATGCTCCCAAGCATGTCCCTTTCCAAAGATTGGTCCCTCCTTGCAACATGCAAAGTATATCAGACGAAGCTTCAAAATCCTTGCCTACAAGGAGCAGCCTGGTTTAATTGGTTGAACCTGTTCATTTTCTTGGCAGTCCATGGTATATGCAATATTCTTCTCCAACACCACAAGTCAAAGGCATCAATTCTCCTTCTATCTTCCCTAGTAATTGTCCAGCTCTCTAATGCATAGCAAGTAACTGCAAAGACCATGGCCTGTATCAGATGCACCTTAGTATCCAGAGTGACACACTTTCAGTACTTTAGAGTGGTCCCTAACAGCAGACTTTCCTACAGCAATACGCCTTTTAATTGCCTGGCTACTGGTGCCAAGAATGTTGACTGTGGAGCCAAGCAAACTAAAGCTGTTAACAATCTCAATCTCTTCGCCATCCATCCTGATGCTGCCAAATGGCCCAGTGGTAAGAATCTTTGTCTTCTTGATATTGAGTCTCAATCCATATTGAAGGCTGCAGTTCTTGACCCTCTGCAGCAAGTGCTTCGGGTCCTCCTCAGTTTGAGCAAGCAGAGTTGTGTCATCTGCATAACATAGATTGTTGATGAATCTTCCACCAATCCTGATGCCACACTCTTCATACAGCCCAGCCTCCCATATGATCTGTTCTGCATATACGTTGAAAAGGTATGGAGATAGGACACATCCCTGGCATAGCCCCTTCCCAATTTTGAGCCATGCAGTGTTTCTCTGCTTGGTTCTGACAACCGCCTCCTGGTCCAAGTATAGGTTTCACATTAGCACTATCAAGTGTTCTGGGATTCGAATTCATCTCAGAGTCAACCACAGTTTATTGTGATCTACACAGTCAAACAGCTTTGCGTAGTCAATGAAACAGAGACATTCCTCTGATACCCCCAGCTTTCAGCCAAGATCCATCTAACATTAGCTATAATATCCCTAGTACCACAACTTCTAAACCCAGCCTGGACTTCTGGCAGTTCTCTGTTGATGTTCTGTTCCAGTTGTTTTTTGGATAATCTTCAGCAGAATCTTGCTTACATGTAATATCAATGATAGTTTTCTATAATTTCCACACTCTGTTGGGTCACCTTTCTTTGGAATGGGAACAAATATATATCTCTTTCAGGCAGGTGGCTAAGTGGTTGTCCTCTAGATTTCTTGACACAACTTAGTAAGCACATCTAGGGCAGCACCTGTTAGTTGAAATATGTCAATTGGTATAACATCAATTCCTGGGGATTTATTTTTTGCCAATTCCTTCAAAGCAGTTTGAACTTCTTCATCACCAGAGGCTCTTGCTCATACGATGTTTCATGAAATTCTTCTGTGTCTGCCAATTTCTTTCAGTACAGTGGCTCTGTATATTCTTTCTATCTTCTTTTAATACTTCCTGGATCATTTAATATTCTGCCCAAAGCATCCTTAAGTAGAGCAACTCAAAGTTTGAATTTGTTCTTCAGTTTCTTCAGCTTAAGAAATGCTGAAAGAGTTCGGCCCTTTTGATTTTCTGACTCCAGAAAAATCACATTTCATTGTAATATAGTATTAAATTACTCCTCAAAATAATGATCTGAGCTCATTTTAAAAAGTTATTTACTCCAGAAGCTAAACCAGGTGAAGTCCATGGGGTCCACTCAAATCAACGTGGCGTCCATAGCCTAACGGCCTCCAGGCCAGAAGGAGCCACAGGAGTGGACAGGAAGGTTGAAGTAGTTCAGATCCTTCCAACCGTCTGGCTGGAGTGAAACCCTAACACTAATAAAGAAATCGAACTGGGAAATATACAGAAAACAAAAAACAACTCAAAGTGGATCAAGGACCTAGGACTAAAACCAAGCACTATAAACATCTTTAGAGAAAAGCTTAGAAGAACTCCAGAAATCCTGATCCACAACATAAACTGTCTTCCAAGC